TCCTGTCCCTTCTTGCATGCTCAAATGCAAAAGGGGAAACATTTCTCCTTTTGTTTTGTTTTTGTTTTGCCAGCCCTCTGCCAGTGAAAACGGAGGCATGAGAGGCCCTCTCAAGCTCAATTTTCATTGGCAGAGGCTCGGCGGGCCAGTCCTTTTTCTGTTTCCAGGGCTGACCTGCGGACCAGATCTAAGCATCTCGCAGGCAGGATCCGGCCCACCGGGCTTTGAATTTGACACCCCTGTTTGATGGTTTAGGAAAACATATTTTGCTACAGAACAATGGTAGAAGAAAAAAAGTAGGTGTTGATTGAGTTTCCTGTTATTCATATCAGTCTCAGGTCTGGAACAATCAGATCTCCCACCCCTGTAGACCATTCATGGCTCAGGGTGGGAGGCATCCAGAGGTGGTATTCAGTAGGTTCTGACCTGTTCTGGAGGACTGGAAGCTTTCAAGAAGAGACTGGGCTGCCATCTGTTCAGAAACAGTATAAGGTCTCCTGATTGGGTGTGTGTGTGTGTGTGTGGACTAGATAGCAATAGCAATAGCACTTAGATTTATATACCGCTTCACAGTGCTTCACAGCCCTTTCTAAGCAGTTTACATCATCAGCATGTTTTCCCCAACAATCTGGGTCCTATTTTACTGACCTTGGAAGGATGGAAGGTTGAGTCAACCTTGAGCCTGGTGAGATTTGAACTGCCAAATTGCAGGTGGCTGGCAGTCAGCAGAAACAGCCTGCAGTACTGCACTCTAACCACTGCACCACCACACTCATATAAATGACCTACAAGGTCCCTTCCAACTCTGTTAATCTGTTAATTTAATAAAGTTTCCTTTGGGTTAATAAAGATAATCCAGCTGGGTACAACTCCAGAGGGTGATGCCCATCTCTATTTCTTAGCCAAGGGAACTGCCATTGTCCAAAGACATTCCTGAGGTTAAGTGACCACCATTACCTGTACCCAGAGGTACATGGAATACTGATACCTTTCCTCTAAGGTGGTACCTATTTATCTACTTGCATTTGCATGCTTTTGAGCTGCTAGATTAGCAGGAGCTGGAGCAAATAATGGGAGCTCACCCTATCATGCAGCACTTGGGTCTTGAACACAAGTTTTCCAGCTGACAAGTTCAGGATCTTTAACCACGGAGCCATTGCATCCCCTATTGAGTTAATGGTGGATTCAATATTTTGAGATAAGTTGGTAGGAGGATCAATCCCAGTTCTGCCAACTTGTTCAGACTACAAAACCAAAAAGATTTCACGGGGCTTTGCTTTCACGCACAATGTAGCACCATAAACAAAGAACATTCCTTCAGGACGAATTAACATTTTTGTTGTATCATCAACCTCCAGATTCCATCTCAAGCATAATTCCTTCCAAGATAACACCTGCGTAATAGATTAAACTTTGTACCGTCAAAATGGCAGGTGGTCAAATCCAGGATGCATTTCAGACTGAAGAAAACTGTTTGCCCAAATAAGTCTTAAGTAGCTTCTCTTTATTTGAGGGGGGAGGGGGCTTGGCTGTGTCAAATTATGTCTAGGACGTTCTGGAAAACAATGGCCCCAGATCTTCCCCTAAGCAGAATAATTAGGACAACATTTGGGAGAAATCTTGAGTTTTTGGTAGGAAAGGCTGGGGTTAGGAGGTAAAAAGACACAGGGCTGCTTTTAAGTCAAACCAAACCCTGTGTGTAAGGCTTATGTAAGAAGAATGTTGTTTACAAGCAGGGCACGGCAGACTGCTCCAAAAGAATGATACATGGAGCTTCAAGACCAGTTGAACAACCACACCCATAGCCACAGAAAAGCTGGAGGAGATATTTTCTAGAAGAAATTTTCTTGCCAACACTAATCATGCCGAATGCACCACAGCCCACACTGGTATATTATGATGACTGGAATATCCCTGAGCACAGCTCGCAATTTTGAACACACCACAAAACATGGTGGGCTGTCCCCTGATACCACAAGATGACTTCGCTAGGGCTCGTGGCTTTAGAAGAGCGTGGAAAATCCTCAGGGTCAACTCACACCCTAGTCAGCACTTCTTCACTCTCCTACCGTCGGGTAGGAGATATAGAAGCATAGCCAGCTGCACCAACAGGCTGAAGAACAGTTTCTACCCATGGGCTGTTAGCTGGGGTGGGCTGCTGTGGGTTCACAGGGGTTCGGGAGAGCCCCTAGCTAAAATTCTGTGCCATTCAAAGAACCCCCAAATCCTCTCCTGGCTGGCCCTGCCCAACTGTCCCCTCCCTTCCCAGGAATTCCCACGCAGCCAGTTTGGGATGCAGGCAAGTGCAGGACACGCATGGAGGTTCAGGAAGGGTGAAAAACGGGCCACCTAGAAGTTTGGGAAGGCTGGAAATGGGCCCATATTCAGCTTCCAGAGAGCCCCTGGAGCGCGGGGAGGCTGTTTTCGCCACCCCAGAGGCTCAAGGAAAGCCTTCGGAGCCCAGGGAGGGCAAACCCCCGCCCCCACTGTGGTGCAGGAGGCTGACTAGGCCATGCCCACCATGGCCACATCCACCCACCAGCTGGGCAGAAAATCCTTTGCTAAAATTTTTGAAGCCCACCTCTGGCTGCCAGACTCCTGAATGCGAAATGATCTCATAACAACAAAGTATGACTACCGTGTTTCTCACAAAATAAGGCCGGGCCTTATTTTTTTTTTGAGCCCCGAAAAAACAGCTAGGATGTCTTTTCGGGGGTGAATTAATTTCTTCCCACACGCGCCCCCCGCGGACCAGCGCCGTCTCCAACAAAGCGTCTGAGTTGCTCCTGCCTTTCCCCCCGTCCCCGTAACAACAGGAAAAAAAAGATTTTGAGGTACCTGGGAGCGCCACGCGCTGCGTTTTGGTTTAATCTCGAGCAGCTGGGTGGGCATGAGAAGAGCCGAGCGAGCATCTCTGCTGCTGCTACCCTTGGTGCTCCAGCCTCGGGCTCTGCAAGTTTGCAAAAGTCCCGGTGCGCAGCCTGTTCCTGCATTCCAAGTGCCCAGGCCCAGCTGCAGCTATCCCTCTCTCGCCAGCGCCATCTCCAATAACAGCAGCAGCAGTGGCGGGAACTGTGGAAGTTACAGAGACGGTTCCCTCACCCGAGAAGCGGCTAAAACGCTTCCATGGTTGCCGCCGCTCACCCAATCTCATTGTACACATGTTGTATCCTGGCAATAAAGGTTTGAATTGAATTGAATTGAATCCCTGAGGAATTGGGATTCCATGTATGCTCCCTGCTTTTGTTTGATGGATGTAAAAAAAACAGTTCCACGCCCAAACTTTCTTCACTGGTGATTTACTTCTTCAGTTGCTATAGCCAAAAAAGCTCTGGATCTTTTCTCAAGGCAAACAGGTTTCTTTAATTATCTAGCCTTTATGATATTGTTAGCCCACAGGCACGGAAACGTTTCTGAGGATGTTGTTAAGTTATGAAATTGTTACACAAGCTGTCTCATCCAATCATCTTAAAGAAGGTATTTACACATCAGGGAAAGGCAGCATTTACAAAACAGGGGGGGAGAGGCGAGTAAAACACCCTGTCTGAAGTTAGGGCTGTGTCTGTGTGAGGTTTTGCAACTAGATCACCACACAGTTCTATTTTAAGCCAAAGGTCATTTGTTTATAAAGTTGATTTGCTGTCTTGGGGTCTGGGATGAAATTCTCAAAACATTTTTTTCCCCTGCTGGATTTAAGTCAGCCCTTTAAAAATGTAACTTAACGTTGAGTTTAAAAGATAAGGAAGCTTCAATATTTTATAAGGTATGGGAACAATGGTATAGCTGGATAGATCGGAGACAGATTAAGGATAAGTAATTATTAAATATAGAATATAGATAGAAGAAAAATATAATTATGCAGAAATTAATATTTGTAAATATCACACAAATGGTTGTATACGATAAGCACCACAAACAGCTGTTATTGAATTATATATATATATTAATGTTTTTAATGTAATAAAATTCAATAAAGTTTTTAAAATATGTAACAAGTTTTTCATCGACTTTTGCACCTTTCATGGGTGTTTGGCTAGGAGGAAACACATTTAGGCTGAGTTCTGTTTCCAATTTCACCTGTTTTTTTTTTAAATAACAATGAATCTGTTGCACAACAATAGTTATTGCTATTTGTGAGTGACACCAAACATGACATCAATTTAGTGTAAAACAATGATATTCTCACTTCCTTGTTTATAATGAATCCCACCCCTCTCCCAGAAAGCAGGATTCAGGCTTTATTGAATTTGCAACGCAGTTTGCAACTCAATAAGAACTACACAAACATACACTCAAAAATACACACATATATATATAAAACTGAGTGGGCAGACAAAATTATGCCTTGCTACAGAAGCTTCTTCTTTCCAAATGTAAGCATTAAGAAAAGTGGAAGCAATTTCTTTAAAGGCATATTCTCTTTTTAAGATCAACCCAGGAACTGACCGAGAATAAGGTGTGCAAAAAGGAGACGCTGGCTGAAAAGCATCTTGAGAGATGCTCCCATCCCTGTTTTTGAGAAAATAACTATATTCTGAGGGGCAGGACAAGAAACAACGGGTGGAAACTAACCAAGGAGAGAAGCAACCTAGAACTAAGGAGCAATTTCCCGACAGAACAATTAATCAGTGGAACCACTTGCCTCCAGAAGTTGTGAATGCTCCAACACTGGAAGTTTTAAAGAAGAGATTGCATAACCATTTGTCTGAAATGCTACAGAAGATCTCCCAGGTCCCTTCCAATTCTGTTATTCTATTCTTTTTTTTTTTTCTATATAGGGGCTCATTTCTTTGCATGCCTTAGGGATCTGCTAGTAAACCTCATCATCTTGTTTTGACTGTGAAAGAGAGAAAGAGAGAAAGAGAGAGAGAGAGAGAGAGAGATCAAGCAAAGTAATAGGAGGCTGAGAAAAGAAGGAGAAAAAAAGAAGGGAAGGAGACGAGATCTTCTATAGGCAAAACCAGAGAGAATTCTGCACCGCGACGGATTCTGCCTCTTACCAATGGTGATACAAGCCAGCACCACGGTGCAGAGTCCAAGCAGCTTCCCCATGGTGAAGTTGATGTCCTGACGGATAGAAAGGTAGCGGTGTTATTCCAGCCCGGCAATAGCTTCGAGTGCCTGAAGAGTCTCGCCCGCCTCCCGCTCCCCCATCCTATCTATATACCCGCGTGATACGCCCCACCTTCCCGAGCTCGAATTGGCCGACTGGGTGGGATCCGGAGTAAACTGCCTTCCTTCAGCTACGGGCGTGAGGGGATCCCGAGAGGCAGAAGTCACACGGAAAGGGTGAGTCAGAAATGGGAGAGGGCGAGAGAGAAAGGGAGAGGGAGAAAGAGGGAGAGAGGGTGGAAAAGAAGGACTGAAAGAAAAAGAGGAGAGAAAGAAAAGAAGGGAAGGGAAAGGAAAGGAAAGGAAAAAGAAGGAAAGAGAAATAAAGGAAAAAAAGAGAAAAGGCAGGCAAAGAAGAGGGAGAGGGTGAAAAAAGATAGAAGGAGAGAGAGGGGGAAAGGAAAGGGGGGCAGAGAGAGAAGGTGGGGTGGGAAGAAAGAAGGAAAGGGGAAAGGAAGGAAAGGAAAGATAAAAACAAAAGAACATTTCCAACAATAGAACAATTAAAGAAATAATTCTGGTGGAGAAAAGAAACACAACTGGTTCAAAATGGGCAACCTATAGATTACCCCAAATAGTGGACACATACCTCTGGGCAGGGTCAGATCTTCAGACCTTTCTTGAAGGCAGACAAGCCTGGATCTCTGCAGATTGTGAGGGAGTATTACTGTTGAAGCAGGTGCACTGTTAGGGAAGGCACATTTCTGGATCCTGTTGGATCTTGCTGGAAGAGCAAGCATCATGGGAGACAGGTAATCCATGTTGTAATCCAGGGAATTCCCAAACCCTGGATCACGGCCCACTACTGGACTGGGGCCTATTCAGAACGGGACCGCAAAAGTGGCTGGATGGAGCGTGTGCAAGCAGGCAGCTCAACTTGTGTGAACAGCAGATTGGTGGGCACTTGTGCACATGTGTGTGCCGGTCCACTGCTTGCACAAGTTGAGCTGTGCACGTGCATGCCACTCTGCCATTCGTGCTAGGGCTGCATGCACATGTACGCTGGCCTACTGCTCATGTGAGTCGCTACGGTTGGGCATCACTGTTCTAGTCTATAGTATACCCTATACGTCTTTATAGATTTAACAGATTTAACAGATTACCAGAGTTGGAAGGGACCTTGTAGGTTATCTAGTCCAACCCCCTGCCCAAGCAGGAGACCCTACACCATTTCTGACAAATGGCAGTCCAATCTCTTCTTGAAAGTCTTGAGTGATGGCGCTCCCACAACTTCTGAGGGCAAAGCTGTTCCATTGGTTGATTGTTCTCACTGTCAGAAAGTTTCTCCTTATTTCCAAGTTAAATCTCTCCTTGTTCAGTTTCCATCCATTATTCCTTGTCTGGCCTACAGGCGCTTTAGAAAATAGCTTGACCCCTTCTTCTCTGTGTCAAATATTGGAAGACTGCTATCCTGTCTCCCCTGGTCCTTCTCTTCACTAGACTAGCCAAGCCCAGTTCCTGTAACCGTTCTTCATATGTTTTAGTCTCCAGTGTCCTAATCATCTTGGTTGCTCTTCTCTGTACTTTTTCTAGAGTCTCAACATTTTTTTTTATGGTGTCGTGACCAAAACTGAATGCAGTACTCTAGGTGTGGTCTTACTAAGGCTTTACAGAGTGGTATTAGTACCGCACTTGATCTTGATTGTATCTCTCTTAATACAGCTTGGCTTTTTTGGCTGCTGCTCCACACTGCTGGCTCCTATTTAGCTGATTGTCCACTAAAACTCCGATCCCTCTCACAGTTACTGCTATTGAGCCTGATTTCACCCAGTCTATATGTGTACTTTTGTTTTTTCTTGCCTAAGTGTAGGACTTTACTTTTCTCTACATTGAATTTCATTTTGTTAGATATGGCCCAGTGTTCAAGTCTGTCAAGATCCATCTGGATCTTGAGCCTATTTTCTTGGGTGTTAGCTATTTCTGCCAGCTTAGTATCATCAACAAATTTGGTAAGTTCCCCTTTTATTCTAGATGAAAACTAGCACCATGAATCACACCCAATAGCTACTGGTAACCACTTAGCTTGAATAGATGTGTCACATGGGTGTGCCAACTATGCCATAATTATTCACACTGCCACATTGTGGATGAATGGTAGCTTCTGTGTGCTCTTCAAGGGCAGCCCCACAGAGAACTCATTGTAGACTACCTGAGGAATTCTGGCAGAAAGAAGTGATCTCTTGTTAGCTTTTGGTCTCCTTCTGCCACAACTTCAGTTCAGCTTTCCAAATTGTCATGTTCTCTACTAGCCCAAGTAGAATGTTGCCTTGAAGTATCAGGTGACTTAAATTCTTCAAGGACTCTTGTGAGATAAGCAAGTTTCAATAGCCACTTGAAGGTCAGGAATGACAACCTCAGAGGGTGATTTGTTCAAGCACGATCCCACAATCTGTAGGAAAAAACATTTCCACAAGACAGTCACCTGACCACAGAATAATAAAGCAAATATATGCACTTGGAGATACTACGGGGAGTCCATCTGGCTAGAAATCCTGCTGTTGAGAGACTTGTTTTAAATTCACAGTGAAATGACCTCTTTCATCACCTTATCCAACTCTTCTAACGCTTTGAACAAAGGCATTTTTTTCAACAGTCCAGTTGCCTGTTGAAAAATACCTTTGGGACAACTATGACCTGCAATCTCCATAGACCTTTGAACCAAGATCCTTTTAATGAGAAGTCAATGAGAAATGGTTACTAGTAGTAGATTCATTTTCTTTATTCTGGAACAAAAGCCTTGCCGTATTCCAGATGTTGTTGAGGTACCCTCAGTTCACCCACTGAGTCATTGATTCCAGGTTAGTATCACAGAATGATAGAGCTGGATAGTATCATAGAGGTCCTATTTTACCTATTGGATCTCATTGGAAAGGTAAATATGCCCATCCCCTGCTTGATACAAGGTCTACTAAAGTGTTTTAGATAGATGGGTAGTTATTCAATCTCTGTTTGAACACCTCCAGTGTTGGGGACCCTACCCTACCCTACCTACCCTATCCTACCCTACCCTACCCTACCCTTCCCTTCCCTTCCCTTCCCTACCCTACCCATCCCTTCCCTTCCCTACGCTACCCTACCCTACCTTACCCTACCTTATCCTACCCTATCATACACACCATACCACACCATACCACACCATACCATAATCTCCCTACTCTACCACACCTCACCCCTACCCTACTGAAACCTATTCCACTGGTTGACAAATCTTACCATTAGTAAATTTCTCCTAATATCTAAATTGAATTATATTCTGGGGTCCTTGGTGCTCTCTGAACTTGATTATTTCCTCGCAGACGTTTCCTTACCCAACTAAGGCACTTGATGATATTATACCTGCTTGGATAGTGAAGCATCTTAAAAACAAACAAACAACCAAGCTCAGAGAGCTGCAAAGACCCCACAGTTTAACCCAGAGCTGTAATTATTCTCTTCTATTGATGAATATACTAAGTAGTTCCAACTGTCCTAGTTCTGACCTTGGGCATAACTGAGAACAAGCCGAACGCTTCCTCTACAGCCTGTTTGATATCTGAATACGGAAGATCATTATAGAGCTTAGATGTTCTCTTGTCCAGGCTACAATTGTTCAATTCTTTTAACTGTTTACCATAGGATTTGACCTGTATTTTCTCAGTCCTAGTCAATATTTTCTGCAAATAAATATACACCTACCTCCTTGATACAACTCACAACTATGATCTGTTTATATTGTTTCAGAAGTTGACATTTTGGGTTCTTGTTGTATTTAATTCATCAAATATAAATTTGAATTCTTTTATTGTTTTGTTCTTGGCCCGTATACTTTCCTCTTTAGCATAACTGACTTTCCCTGAGCAAACATTTTTTTTGTCGTACTGAGTACTCCAGCCAAGAAAAATAGTTTCCAACTTTTTCAGATAATTTATTAGCGCATCCCAAAACAATAAGAACAGAAACCAAAAAAAGAAAAAAGAAACACCATGTACATTATGAAAAACATTTCTATCTCATGAAAGGATGAAAACAGAAATCTAGATGAGTGCTTAGGTTAAAAAAATCCAGGGCAGAAACTAAAGAGCGGGCAGGTTTCAGAACTGAAAAAGCTTCTTATTTTTTTAAAAATTCATTCATTCATTCATTCATTCATTCATTCATTCATTCATTCATTCATTTATTTGTCAATTGCTTACAAGATAACAGGTATAAGTATAAACATAATGTAGTTATGAATACATGAAAGGGATACATATAAGAAAAAAAGAAACAATAGGTCAGGGACGGTAGGCACGTTGGTGCGCTTATGCATGCCCCCTACAGACCTCTTAGGACAGTCTAAGGTTAAAGTTTTCGGGGTTTGGGGAAGAAGCCACAGAGTCAGGTAGAGTATTCCAGACATTGACCACTCTGTTGCTGGAGTCCTATTTCCTGAAATCAAGTTTGGTGCAGTTATCTTTGAGTTTGTATCTATTGTGTGCTCTTGTATTGTTATGGTTGAAGCTGAAGTATTCATTGACAGGTAGGACATTGCAATGTATGATTTTATATACTATATTTAGATCAGACCGAAGGCAGCATAGTTCTAGGTTTTCTAAGTCTAGAATTTCGAGTCTGGTGGCATAAGGTATTCTGCAATGAGTAGAGGAGTGGAGAACTCTTTTTGTGAAATATTTCTGGACTTTCTCAACTGTGTTAATATCAGATACATAATGTGGGTTCCAGACTTGAGCTGTATTCAAGTATTGGTCTAGTAAATGTTTTATATGCTCTAGTTAGTTCTTGGGTGAGGAGAGAAACATCTTCAAGGAAAAGCAAAGGAAGTTCAGTTGTCTTTTGAAAAAGCACCTTTTCGACAACCAGAGGTGGTATTCAGCAGGTTCTGACCAGTTCTGGAGAACCGGTAGCAGAAATTTTGAGTAGTCTGGAGAACTGGCAAATACCACTTCTGACTGGAGATTTTACAATATCCTTCTCCTGCCATGCCCACCAAGCCACACCCATAGAACCGGTAGTAAAAAAAAAAATTGAATCCCACCACTGGCAACAACCATGACCTGGATGACTCAGTATTTCCATAGACATTCTCTCAGTACATTAACTCTTTCTGTAATTGTATTTTTTAATGAAATTTTAAGCCCTTTTAAAACCTTGAGTCTTTTTGATTCAGTTTTGACCTGCCCTGAAATCTCTTGGGTATAAGACAGAGGTGGTATTCAGCAGGTTCTGACCAATTCTGGAGAACCGGTAGCAGAAATTTTGAGTAGTTCAGAGAACCAGCAAATACCACCTCTGACTGGCCCCGCCCCCATCTATTCTCTGCCTCCTGAGTCCCAGCTGATTGGCTGGGTCTTCTTTTGTTTCCTTGCACAGGAGAACGGAGCTGGAAAGCAGGTTAGTGGAGTGGGGAGGGAATGGGGATTTTACAGTATTCTTCCCCTGCCACACTCAAAAGCCACGCCCACCAAGCCACACCCACAGAACAGGTGGTAAAAAAATTGGAATCCCACCACTGGTATAAGAGGAAGGAAATGAAAAACACTGTCATGCTGCTATATTCTGTTATTACGGTATAGTTTATATCACTTTATTGTCCTAATCTTTATTGTGGGGTTTATTGATGCCTATCTTGAAGGGCTATACCATGAGATAAATATGTCCCTGCAGTCTTTTTTTTCTGCCATGTCCTCAATGATGCTGCCTTCATCTCATCTTCAACCCATGCATGAATAACTTTAAACTGTTCTTACTGTACAAGTAAAAAGGTAAAACTTTCCCCATCAGTTGTGTCTGTTTATTGACTGAGGGAGCCAGCATTGTCCAAAGACAATTTTTGTGGACATGTGGCCAGCATGGCTATATATATATCATTTCTTTGCTCACTTTGAAGTGGAGACATCAGAGACAGATAAAATACAACTACCAGCCAATTGTAGCCCCCACCTCATTGTGGAGAAACAGGAGGTGAGGAGCATTCCGAACGCTGTGGATCCTAGAAAGGCTGCCGGTCCTGATGGTATCTCTGGCCGAGTGCCTAAAGACTGTGCTGGAGTCTTTACCAGGATCTTCAATCGGTCTTTATCCCAGGCCACTTTTCCATCTTGTTTGAAGGTTTCCACCATTGTTCCGCTGCCAAAGAAGTTCCCTATCAATAACCTCAACGATTACAGACCAGTGGCAGTCACTCCTATCATCATGAAATGCTTTGAGAAATTGGTCTGCCGGCACATCATTTCTGGTCTCCCGCATACATTTGATAAACACCAGTTTGCATACAGAAAAAATAGATCTACAGAGGACACTATAGCCATCACTCTTCACACTGCTCTGACTCATCTAGAACAGCAGGGGGGGGAGGGGGGGCTACGTGAGGATGCTTTTTGTGGATTTTAGTTTTGCATTTAACACAATTCTTCCTCATAGACTAGTGTCAAAACTTCTGGACCTTGGGCTTTCTAATTCAATCTGCCTTTGGATTGTGGATTTCCTGTCTGGCCACTCACAGAGGGTCAGATTAGGTAATCATACCTCTTCAGCCCTTATTCTTAATACCGGTACATCACAGGTTTGTGTGTTGAGTCCCTTACTCTATACTCTTTATGTGCATGACTGCATTCCCACTCACGCTAGTAATACTATTACTAAATTTGCAGATGATACAACAGTGGTGGGACTCATCTCTGGGGGGATGAGTCTGCCTACCGAGATGAGGTGGACCGGTTGCTTTTGTGGTGTGGAAACAATAACTTGGTCCTCAACACCAATAAGACCAAGGAGCTTATAGTGGACTATAGAAGGAACAGATGAGACCTCCAGCCCTTGCTTATCGATGAAGACCTAGTGGAGCAAGTGACCAGTTTTAAGTTTCTGGGTGTTATCCTAAAAGAGGACCTGACCTGGGGTGCCCACATTGAAGCCCTGGTCAAAAGGGCCCAGCAGAGATTATACTATCTGAGACTTCTCAGAAAACAACAACTGAATGAAAAACTGCTGGTGACCTTCTACCGCTGCACCATAGACAGCATTATAACATACTGCACCTCTGTATGGTTTTCCAATTGCATAGGGGCAGATAGGAAAGCACTCCAGAGGGTTAACGTCATTGCCCAGAAGATCATTGGTTGCCCTCTCCCCTCTTTGGAAGAGCTTTATAGTTCCCGCTGCCTTAAGAAAGTTCAAAACAATCTCAAAGATCCATCTCATCCTGGGAACCCTTTTTTTGAATTATTGCCATCTGGCAAGTTGATAGGATAATAAAAACAAGGACAAATAGGCTGAAAAACAGCTTCTATCCCAGGGCAGTAGCTCTTTTGAATTCTGCTGTATAGTGCAGTGTTGGTGTAGTGTTGGGGATTTTCGGTTCAATGTGTGAAGGGTGAAGGATGTGTGTTTGTGTTTATTTTCATGGTCATGGTCATGATGTGCATTGAAGATGGTGTTTGATTTCGTTGTATGAGGTGCAATGACAATAAAAAAGTAAACTATATGCCAAAGATGCACGAAATGTTATCTTCCCACTGAAGTAGTACCTAGTAATTTACTTGCATTTGCAGCAGTGGTGTGGTTTCAAATATTTTTTGCCACTGGTTTGGTGGGCCTGGCTTGGTGGGCGTGTGCATGCACCAAATGCGCACTTTGCATAGGCACAGAGGCTTTCTGACTCACCTCCTGCAAGCCTCAGTGCCTTTAATTGCTGAGCCGACGTGTCCCTTTTCCAAGAGCCCATAATAGTTGCAAGATGTGTAAGACCTGCTTCACCAGCCATTCTGTGGGAGATACACAGTTTGAGATGTGACAAATGGATTCAGCCCAGCATCTATTGGACTCTTACAAGGTTGGTGCAAGCACACCTCTTCATTTCCAGGCACAATGTCAGCTTTGTGAGGTAATCCGGATCAGAAGAACACAGGGATGGGATTCTCCCGCTTCGGACCGCTTCATGAGAACCCCTAGCTACGATGATCAGCTGGCTCCAACCGGTTTGATCCGACGATTATGTGGGCCCACCCACCCCTGTGCTGTAGCCACCTATATCTGCTCAGCTGATTCGTGGGGCAGAGCAGTTTGCCGTGCCTCAGTTGTGTTATTTCCCTTAAGTAACATTGAAGGTAAGTAATTGCAATAGCTGTGCATGCATGTGCCGCGCTCATTAGGTGCATGCATGTGCAGTGCATATTAGGTTCACACATGCATGAAGCATGCGATTAGCAAACTGGTTGTTACACCGAGAGAATCCCATGCCTGGAAGCACATGCCTGGAAGCTTTATCTTATTGCAAGGTTACATTAACAACATTTTGCAAGTCTGAAAGTACATCTCTTTCCCTTGCCCTTTACAGCCAAAGAAACTATAGGGAGGATCCCTTCTGAGAAGTTTGCCATACCCACATTCCTTCTGCAGGCTAAGCTGCCTCTTACCCTATCATTGTCCTGGCTATGGCCCTTCCCTCTGTTCTCCCCAGGTCATCCAGCCCAATCCATTGCATCCAGCCCAATCCACCATTTTTTTTCATTCCCTTGCAAAAAGAACTGGACCACCACTTTCTCTAGCACATTTTATGGAAATTCAAAGGTTAAACCAGTGCAGAACCTACACTCTTCTAGAAAACACAGGACCACAGGTCTTTCAGAACCTGGAGAAGTTGCACCTAATGTGCATTGTAGCTTTGTGGGACTCTGCTGGCGCGACTCCACTTTCATGATCCCATTCAGCCCTCTTTGTAATCCCAGCTCATCTCCCATGGCAACAGGATGGGCATGTGCCGTCAAAGATAATGGACCTCAGATGTTAAATGCTGCTCCCATTCCTGCTACATTGGTGCCATTGTCTGGCAGTGATGACATTCAAACAGAATTACAGGGACAGTGAAACCAGAAGATTCAATCGATTGTGTTACTTAATATGTTATGCAAACACCAAATCAGGATACTACTGTTCAGCACAAGCCCAAACTTGAGTAACTGAAATAGGCAAAACAAAAAAGATCAAAAGATGTCATGTAATGTAGTAAGGAGGTGAGTTCCTAGAAGGGAAGGGGTGCATTCCAGAGGATTAAGAGGCAATTCAGCCTGGATGTCATGTGGGAGAGAAAGAGATTGAAGACAGACCCTCCCTAACAGTTCACAACAGAGTATATTGGAGATGAGGAAGGACGTATGCAGTAGGGCAAGATTCTGTCTTTGGGTGTGTGAAACAATACAAAACTCCACTTGGAGGAATTGCTGCATGTCATTCTTGGTTTTGGGCCTGGAGGTAATGGGCCCAACAAACTCTAGACCAGAATATTTTTCTACTGACTCAAAGATGGGCAGAGAGCACTTCAATATCAGTGGACGGCCCAGAGTCACCCAATTCAGACACCAATGTGTTGAATCATTCTCTGTCAGCTTCATCCATCCTAGGATTATGGTGACTCAAAATCTTGTGATGTATATTAGCCCGAGAAAAGGATTTTCGTAGCAATACTCAAAGGAAACTTCCATCTTGTTTCTTGTAAACGTGTAAAACACAAAGTTATGCCTTTTCTGGGGGGAAAAAAACATTGAAACTTTATTGAAACAACGTTGACACCCAAGAGTCCTTGGATATGAGATGGGTGGCAAATAAACGTCATTACAATAATAGCAACTTGCTTATCATTAAGTAAATACATGGGATTCAAGATTTCTTCCGATCATATTATTCTATGGAGTCCTAAGGGTGTAGGCTGCTATTGTACAGAGCAAACTCTGAAACGACACTCTGTCGTTGGTATCTCCAAGTTTCCTTGCAAGGATGCATGATACCAAGCATGTGTTAAGGTCAAAGATCTACATTTCCATCCTAATTAGAAGTTACAGTTCCAGCTGTTTTTAAATGGAGTTAGCTATTATTATTAGCATATGCCATTGTTACAGTAGCCAGGAGACCACAATGCTATGCAGAGTAGTCTATGCAGAGTGGTCTGGCATGCAAGCATGTAATAGGACATGCTTGCATGCTTCCCAAGGTGCGCCATAGGAGGACAAGCTGGCTTTGCACCAGAGAGAAAAATGAGTGGCTCTTCCTGCAGTATCATCCAAGGCCCCCTCCCTTCCCAGAGCTGCCTTGCAGATGATTTCCACAACCGGGAAGGTTCAGAGCCATCAAGAATCTGACTGCCTGCACAGAGCACCAATTCCCCAATGAAGTGGTACTTTGCTATCTACTTGCATAGAACATGCTTCTGAACTGTTAGGTGGCCAGAAGCTGAGGCAAGTGATGGGAACTCACCCTGCCACGCAGATCTAGGGCTCGAACAGTGGGAACTGAGACTATCTCCAGCTTTGTTAAGACAATGAGCCACTGCACCCCTTAATGGAATTAGTTGATATTAACTCTTGCAAGACTCTTTGAAGTAGATCGGTGTCCTGATGGCCTCCATGTTGTAGAGATGAAAATTGGCAGTCTTTCACAAAAGCGGGTTCCCCCTGAGTCATTGGAGTACAATTATTATAATCTCTGACCAATAACTTCTAGCCAAATTCTAGCCATGCTTATTTTGAAGCAAGCCCTAATGAGTTATATGGGTGTTATATTGCAGTAAGCTTGTGTAGCCTCAACTGCAGGTAGCCCTCACTTACTGATTGCCTCATTCAATGACTGTTTGAAGTTACGATGGTGTTGAAAAAGGAGAGTTATGATCAAGCCTTGACCTTGTGGGCATCCCAGCATCCCAGTGGTTGCGTGATTATCATTTGTGACTTTCATAGCTGGCTTCCGACAAGCAAAGTCAACGGGAAGTTGTAGGTCAGGGCCACATAAAGTCGTACTTAAGGATCCACATCACTTAGAGTCAGAGTTACCACTCCCCATTGTGGCAGATAAGTGAGGACCACCTGTATTATGTGCACTAGCAATGAATCTACCAGGCGTCCAACAGAACACTAACTTTTTAATCTAGGCCCCTATAGTAAAGTTTCTAATTGTTGATATTTAGCGGATCAGTCATTGCTATGACTGTGGGAAAAAGCAGATGAATTTTGTATCTCAGGAGCAAGCAGAAAGCAGAACAGCTACAGTTGTGGTCGCAACCAGCAAGAAGAAGAACGTGGCAGAAGTCTGGGATGTCCAGGAGTTACTCCCATTGCAGAGATCGCTATCACAACAGGAGACTTTGACCCGGTAGGAGGCATTTGAGTACAAAGCCCTGTCCAACTTATTGCATTGTGTCTCCGGGATGCAGCCCCTCGCATAGATGTATTCGTGCACTTTGTAATCTGCAAAAACAAAAATGCAGAGTTAGGGTTAAGCTAGTTCAGGATGGCACAAGGAGAAAGTATCGAGGAAGAGTTGGTGCAGGAATGTGCATACAATAGCAGTAACACTTAGACTTATATACCACTTCACAGTGCTTTACAGCCTTCTCTAAGCTGTTTATAGAGTCAGCATATTGCCCCCAACAACCTGGGTCCTCATTTTACAGACCTTGGAAGGATAGAAGCCTGAGTCAACCTTGAGCTGGTGGGAATTGAACTGCTGAACTGCTGGCTGTTGGCAGTGGGCAGAATTAACTTGCAATACTTCATTCTAACCACTGCGCCACCACGGCTCTATGCACGTGTACCTATGTACCTATGTTCACTGTATATACTTGTACAGAGTGTAGGTCTCTAGCAGGACTTCTGCAGTGGTGGGGTATTGAAGAAGGTAGGAAGTTATTGCAGAAATGCCAGAATATAAACTCAAAAGTTCTAGAATCCCATTGAATGCGATCCCATGGAAACAATTACTAACCATGAGAGTTGAAGGGGGATGGAGTCAGGTTTGTTGTAAAGTTCTCTATCCAAGGGGTCCCCAACCACCGGACCGTGGACCGGTACCGGTCTGTGGAACATTTCCTACTGGGCCCCCGGTTTGCTGGGTGCTGCCATCTTCTTTGACGAGAAAGTGCTTCCGGGTGAGCTTTTCCGGTTGGAAAGCGGCGTTTGGGTCCTGAAGGAATCCTCACGCCTTCGTTTCATTGAAGTGGGGGGCTTTGAACAAAACTAAGGTGCGAGGATTCTTTCAGCACCCAAGGCAAGGCAAGCCGAGTGACCGTCCCGAAGCCATCCCGAAGTGAAGCCCATCGACAAAGGTACAAAGGAGGAGTTGAAGGTGGTGGGGAGAAGCGGGGGATGGCTGGCTGGCCGGTCGCTTGGCTCGCCTTGCCTTGTCGTGCGTGCTGATGCTGGTACCGGGCCACGGATCATTTTGTGATGCCGGTACCGGGCCATGGCACAAAAAAGGTTGGGGGCCACTGCTCTATCCCATCCCTGAAGTTTTATTGGGAGCAAATAGAGACTTCCCCTAGCCCCTTGCCAGGGGCTCATTAATAGGTATAGGAAACAAGTTTAGATCATAATTCCAGCTGTCAGCAAATAGCTTGATATTGATGTTATATCTGGATTGTACCCAAGACATCCAGTTTGTTTAGAAAAAGTTACACATGCAATTGTAGAGGGAAGGGAGGGAGGAAGGGAAGGTAGGAAGGATGGGAAGGAAGATAGGAAGAGAAGGAAGGAAAGAAAGAAGGGAAGGTAGGAAGAGAAGGAAGGTAGGAAGGAAAGAAAGGGAGGGAGGGAGGGAGGGAGGAAAGGAGGCAGAAGGAAGGAAAATAGGAAGGTAAGAAAAAGTGAAGGAAGGAAAAGAAGGGAGAGAGAAAGAGGGTTAGGAAGAAAGAAAAGAACAAAAGAACAAAGAAAGAAAGAAAAGAACAAAGAAAAAAGGGGGAGAAGGAGGAAAGAGGGATGAATATAAGGTAAGAAGGGAAGGAAGGAAAGGAAGGAAGGGAGAAAGGAAGATGGGAAGGAAGGAAGGAAAGGAGGGAGAGAGAAAAGAAGGTAATGAGGAAGAAAGAAAAGAACAAAAGAAAGAAAAAGAAACAAAGAAACAAGAAAGATAAACACATAAACAAACAAACAAACAAACATAAATAAATAAAACTGGCATCTACAGAAGGCCAGAACAACCCTGGAACACACCTGAAAGTCCCTTGATGGTGCTACACCTCTCTCCTTCCTGACAGCTCACCAGTGATGGCTCCAAGCAACGTTTTCCAAGGGGACAGTCATAACAGAGCAGCGTCTCCATCTTTTGGCACAGGGCTGGGATACCTGAAGGGGAATTTATTTATTTTTAAAAAAGTTAACTGCTGCCAATCAATGCAATCGCTGCTATAGAGAGCAAAAGTGGCCTTCTGTACGTCAGTCTCTTTTCTTACCGGTCCAGTTGCCAATGGGTTATTTTATGCTGCTCCTTTCCCCAGTCTTACAAAATTGTAGGATTTTGTAATCCTAGAGAGGAGCTTTCCAACTCTGTTGGGAAAACACACAGAAACATTCCACCACCCAACAGCAGGATGGATGGGCAGCAGAGGTAGCATTCAGCAGGTTCTGACCAGTTCTGGACAATCAGTGGTGAAAATTTTGAGTAGTTTGGAGAACCGGCAAATCCCAGCTCTGACTGGCCCCACCCCCATCTATTCTCTGCCTCCCGAGTCCCAGCTGATCGGCTGGGTCTTCTACACAGGAGAACGGAGATGGAAAGCAGGTTAGTGGGGTGGGGAAAGAATGGGGATTTTGCAGTATCCTTCTCCTGCCATGCCCACCAAGCCACGTCCAGAAAGCCATGCCCACAGAAGCGCTAGGAAAAATTTTTTTTGAATCCCACCACTGCTGGACAGGATGGGAGTTACATTCCAGGGTATATGGAAAGGACATGGTTGAGGAAGGTTACAAAACAACATAAACTTCAATGAGGAGAATCTCCCTTTCCAGCCTGTAGAGGCCCCAAAGAAGTTCCTGTAGCTTAACTCCTGTAAATTAACTCCGAGAAGCACAAAGCCAAAGACACAAGCCTGAAGATGATGAATGAGACTTCATCGAAACATCGCCTAGATACTTCCAATTTTATGCAGGAGAAAACCCGAATAACTAAAGATCCACATACAAATACCCGTAGTAGTTGTGCTTTTAAAGTTGTAGCAACGTTTCGGCATACATGTAAGTACCCGTGAAAACTTAAGAAAACTTATATATAACTATTTCCATATGGTCTAGAAATGTAGCTAGCCAGGAACTGAGCACAATTACAGGAAGACTTCACCATGCCAGGATTGGAGACTCTCTTTATTAAAATGGGAAGAATTTGGAAAACAGGATCCCCAGGGATGGGCCAGCAAATGGAAAATCATGCAGAAGTTTGATTATTGATGCACCTCGGGAATCTGTTCTAAGCAAATTCTGGTATTTAACTTTTTTTTTTTGCTTCAGCTGACAATGCATGCTGTTTCGAATGGAAAATCCCTGGGTAACTTCCATCTTGATGGAGAAAGAAAAAAAAAGTTTGGGAAGGAGAAGAGAATTTTGAATAGCTAAGCATCCTTCACATAACCTCAAAGAGTTTGCTTGAAAAGAGAAGCACCTCCAAAATGACAGCATGGATACATTGATAAAATGAGGCAAAATCCTGTTTGTGAAAGAAATGGAAACAAAGTCCTATGTAAAAGGTAAAGATAAAGATTTCTCCTATCCAGTCATGCCCAACTCTAGGGGGTGATGCTCATTTCTGTTTCTTAACCAAGGGAAGCAGAGTTGTCCAAAAGCATTTCTGTGGTCAAACGGCATTTGACAAAGTAGATTACAACCAGGGGTGGGATTCAAATTTTTTAACAACCGGTTCTCTGGGCATGGCTAGGTGGGAGTGGCCATGTGACTGGGTGGGTGTGGCTTTTTTGCAGCAACCCTCTCCCATTTTGGGGCCTTCTGGGCCTCAGAGAAGCCTCCTTTGTTCCCAGGAAGTTTCCCTGGGGCCTAGGAAGGAAAAAAAAATGGAGCACGGGGTGGTTCTGCTGTGCCCGCCCCCCTCCATTTTTTGCCTTCCTGGGCCTCAGGGAAGCCTTCTGGCTGAAGCAATAAGGCAGTGAGGGGAATCCCGGCACAACTGATCGTAGGAACATAGGTGCCCCTGACATGAGTGATGTCAAACTGGCCACACCCACCTTGGGCCCCCCGAGGTCAAACACAACCCTGATTCAGCCCCCGATGAAATCGAGTTTGACACCCCTGACTTACAGTAGCTGAAGGAATAGAAGGGGAACTCATCAAATTTGCAGATCGCTGAGGTGGCAGGACTAGCTAACAATCCAGAAGACAAGCTCAGTATCCATAAATACCTTCACAGACTTTGAACAATGGCCTTATCCAATAAAATGAAAATTAATGTAGAGAAAAGCAAGGTTTTACACCTGGGCGGGAAAAACCAAAGGCACAAGTACAGATTAGATGAAATCTGGCTTCAAAAACAACAACTGTGAGAGGGACCTTGGAGTCCTAGTGGACGATCACTTAAATATGAGTCAGCAGTGTGGGGCATCAGCCAAAAATGCTAATACAATCTTTGGTTGTACAAATAGGGGCATAGAATCAAATTCAAGTGAAGTATTGGTACCGCTTTGTAAAGCCTTAGTCAGACCACACCTGGAATCCTGCATCCAGTTTTGGTCACCACATTACAAAACAGATGTTGAGACTTTGGAAAAAGTGCAAAGAAGAGCAACTAAGATGATTAAAAGGCTGGAGACAAAACCATATAAAGAATGGTTGTAGGAACTGGGTTTGGCTGGTCTAGGGAAAACAAGGACTAGGGGTGACATGATAGCAGTATTCCAATATTTGAGGGACTGCCACATAGAAGAGGAGGTCAACTTATTTTCCAAAGCACCAGAAGGCCAGAAAAGAAACAATGGATGGAAACTAATCAAGGAGAAAAGCAACCTAGAACTAAGGAGAAACCACCTAATAGTGAGAACAATTAATCAGTGGAACAGCTTTGCCTTCAAAAGTTGTAGGGGCTTCATCACTGGTTGTTTTTAAGAAGAGACTGGACAGTCACCTTTCTGAAATGGTCTCCTGCTTGAGCAGAGGGTTGGTCTAGAAGACCTTCAAGGTCCCTTCCAGCTCTATTCTGATAGATAGATCGATTGGTTCCATGGTTGAGGAGTAAGGGGATATAGGGAGGGGGAATGAGGGGATGAGAGGAACCAGGGGTAATAGTGCAGAACAAAGCATGAGAATGGAATGCGAACAACTATCAAAGAGGCACAAAACTTTAGGATGGTTACCAAAGATCTAGATTGAACTCCTTTGGTCATTTAAAAAAAGACCAAGGTGGGAAGGGCACCAAAAGCACTGGGTTTACATGGGAATATTCAGATCCAGCTTTGCTTACACTGTAACCACTTGGCTTCAGTAAAAGTTATACCTTTCACTACAAATGGAGTTGAGGGTCTTTCTTTCATAAACATCCAAGCTAGGACAGGCCTGTCAGTATGTTCATTTAGTTAAACCCCCTAATGGCTTGCAACCAATTCTGTCAAACCCAACAGCTGAACAACAGTCAGACAAAACCAAACTAAACCCACTGTTCAATAAAACTTACATCAGTTAATAAAATAAATAAACGGAATAGGGTGATGGGAGGGAAACCCTAAAGCCTATCGGGAGAATCTTTTAATTATAATGGGGTGGAAGAATGTTTGAAAACAGAGTCTTATACATTTTTATTCAAAAGTAATATCCTTGAGTTGCCTGGGAGTGTTTTTCATGGATGTATGGTTTATGTTATGCAAATTAAGATTTAACTGAAAATAAGGTATAGGCACAATAAAAATGGAGGAGATGACATTTAGGGACACAAAAATGTAGGACATACCTATAAAATAGTAGGGTAGCTCCATCCCCCATCCCCACCCTAGCTTAATTTTTACCTGTGTACTCTGGAGCGGGTGGGATCTTAATTAGGGCTTATTTTGGGGGGTAGAGCTTATATTGGGCACACGTGTAAAAATCAAGCTAGGATTTACTTTCAGGGTAGGTCGTATTTTCAGGGAAACAGGATAGTAATTTTTCAGAAGAGGCTGAACAACTTCTCATTGGTGGTTTAATTAGTTTTCCTGAAAGCTGCACAGGATTAGGTTAGCAATAGCAATAGCACTTAGACTTTGCTGCCTTCTCTAAGTAGTTTACAGAGTCAGTATATTTCCCCTAACAATCTGGGTCCTCTTTTACTGACCTCGGAAGGATGGAGGGCTGAGTCAACTTTGAGACAGTGAGAATCGAACTGCTGGCAGTGAGCAGAATTAGCTTGCAATACTGCATTCTAACCACGGTACGATCATGGCTCTAGATTAGATTATTCTTGGGGCTATTCCACTTCCACAATTCTATAATTATTCTATAATCCATGAATGATTGATGAATGAATCAATGAATGAATCAATGAATGAATACTGCATTTCTGTCATATCTTCTAGAAGTTGCTCAGAGCCATGCATGCCAGTTCACCATTCATTTTAAGTTCATAACAAGAACCCTTGTGGGATAGGTTAGGTTATGCAAAGGGTGACTGGACCAAAATAATCCAGTGAGCTCTATGACTGAAAGAAGCTTTAAACCTGGGTGCCCTTGTCCAAACATATTCTCATTATATAATAAACATGAGTAAGAATACAGGAAATAGGTACGAATGGGGACAATAGGACAGGGACGGTAGGCATGATTGTGCACTTATGCACACCCCTTACAGACCTCTTAGGAATGGGGTGAGGTCAATAGTGGTTAGTTTGACGTTAAAGGAGTGGGGGGTTAGAGGATGTAACAACAGAGTCAGGTAGTGCATTCCAGGCATTGACCACTCTATTCCGGAAGTCGTACTTTCTGCAATCAAGTTTGGAGCGGTTTACATTGAGTTTGTATCTGTTGTGTGCTCTTGTATTGACTGGTAGGACATTGTAGCAGATAATTTTGTGTACTACACTTAAGTCTAACCCTAGGTGGCATATTTCAAGGTTCTCCAAGCCCCAAATTTCAAGCCTGGTGATATAGGGTATTCTGTTGCGAGCGGAGGAGTGTAATACTCTTCTCGTGAAATACTTCTGGACTCACTCAATTGTTTTAATGTTCAATATACAGTATGGATTCCAGACAGATGAGCTGTATTTGAGTGTTGGTCTAGCAAAGGTTTTGTATGTTCTAGTTAGCAATTCAATATTTCTGGAGGAGAAGCTTCATAAGATTAGATTTACAACTTTTAATGCCTTTTGGGCAATGCTGTTACAGTGAGCTCTGGCACTTAAGTATGAATACTAAGGCTCTTGATATGAGTACTCCAAGGTCCTTAACAGAGTGAGGGTCGTCAACGAAGTCATATCCACCTAACTTGTATTTGGTGTACTGATTTTTTTTACCAATGTGTAGGACAGAGCATTTGTTGGTCGAGATTTAGACTTGCCAATTGTTTGACCATTCAGACACATAATCAAGGTTGTTAGAATTGTTGGTGGTGAATAATTTTTCGTCATCTGTAAAGAGGAGGCAGTTGCTCATAAGATGATCGTAAAGTCATTTATATAGAGTATAAAGAGTGTGGGTCCTAGAACACTGCCTTGGGGGACACTGCTATTAACTGGGTTTGATATAGCACTCCCTATTTTTATTATTTGTTGCCTGTTTGACAGGAATGCAGTAATCCACTTATGAAGGGATATGGAAATGCCATAAGAGTTTAGTTTTAATGGTAGTTTGTCATGTACCACTAAATCAAAGGCTTTGCAGAAGTCTATATAAATTACATCTATTGCTTTACCCTGGTAGTGTAATTTATAATTGCCGGTGGGGAGTGTGCTGGTTAGACAGTATATAGTTAGTTTAGGAAGAAGAGCTGCCCCCTTAAGGGAATGTTTCATGGGAAATGTAGTTAATGCCTATTGGGAGATGTAATTCATGTCATGTGATCACATCTGTAATCCTGATTGGTCACTGAATTGATCTCTGGTTGGGCTGGGGGAGTTTTGGGGCATTCTTACCTCGACCCCAGCATCGTGCTGGAGTGTTCTTTTGCCATAATGCTCTGAGATAAAGAACACCATCTTTTCACACTATTGAGGCAACTCTCAGATCAAATATTGGACGTTGGATGAATTTCTGCATAACTGTGAGGTATAACTGGAAGATGCTTAATGAATCCAATAAACTAATTTTGCATGGAAGCCTTTGTACTGTCTAGCTGCCAGTCCTGGGCCGTTTTGGAAGTATTCAGGAGTATGGGATAGGAAAGTAAGGAGGTACTTCAGATGTTGCTGAATGCCATTCACATCAGCTCCAATCTACATGACCAGGAACTGAAAGGAATAATGGGGGCTGTGATCTAGCAATAGTTATTTCAGCACTACCAACTTATGACTTTTTAGAGGATGGCCACATTATTTTTTTGGGGTGGGGGGGGGAATGCAAATATAGTTGTATGATTTGAGAATATTTATTTATTTATATTTCATGTTTCTAGACTGCCATCTCTCTCTCTCTCTCTCAATATAAACAAATGGTGAGGAGACAACCTATATCTGGAAAGCTATTTGCTTCCCATCTTGATTGTGCAGATTATGAACGCTAGAGAATGACTATTTCCACACAATATACAGCAACAAATCATTTGAATAACAGATGCACAGATGCCGTACCTTTACTTTCACTACAAACTCTACTAAAATTTGAAGATTGAGGATTATCATGGCATACCAACTTGAAATAATGGTTGTTTTAGCACCATACAAAGTGGAGTTGGTAACTTCTCTGGGCTACAAAATTTGACTTGTGCAAATGCCAAATATTTTCTGGAGGACAATTCAAAGAAGAGACTTGCATAACAGCATCTGTGTGTGATGGAGTTTTAAGTGGAACAACTGTTGCACAGGGGCAATCCCATTCTCTTAGTAGATGAGACCTTAATCCAATGGTGCAGACACCTACATCTGGAGACCTCTCCTGTTGCAGTGAAATCTAAATTCTTGTCATACTCTTAGCACTCCATTGCACCTGTTGGGCCTACCTTCTTGATCATTGGATCATTGATTGGTCTTCTCCGCTCAATCAGCCAGGGCCAGTCTTTACATGCTTGGTTAGGTAAATTCTCTACTTCATTGAGGATCAAAGATTCACCTAGTTTGGCATATCTGCCAAGACAGTTTAGTGGGGTGTGGTGGCTACGTGTGTTATATCTACTTGGAGCCACAGAGGGAACACCAGGTGGGCACCAAAGGTGAACAAGTGACCCTAAAAAGGGTAGGGTGAGCCATTCCATCAGAGATGCTACCCCTCCCTGGACACCCGTACCACCTCACACTTAGCATATCTCAAATCAACCAATCAAAATAGAGCAAGAAGGGACCTTGGAAGTCTTCAAGTCCAACCCCCTACTCTAACAGGAAGCCCTATAACCATTTTAGATAGGTGGCTATCCAGTCTCTTCTTAAAACCCTCCAGTGATGAAACCAAAGGTGGTTTTTCAAGAGGCAATGGGACTTTATGGTAACTTCTCAGTGAAAGAAAAAGTCCAGTTGCCTCTTGAAAAGGTATCTTTGGGACAATCATGACCTGGATGACTGAGAATCTCCATAGACCTCTAGTGATGAAGCCCCTACAATTTCTGAAGGCAAAACTGTTCCATTGGTTAATTGTCCTCACTGTTAGGAAGTTTCTCCTTAATTCCAAGTTGCTGCTTTCCTTGATTAGTTTCCATCCATTGTTTCTTGTCCTTCCCTCTGGTGCTTTGGAAAATAAGTTGACCCCTTCAAATATTGGAAAACTGCTATCATGTCACCCCTAGTCCTTGTTTTCTCTAGACTAGCCAAATCCTGCAACCTTTCTTCATGTGTTTTAGTCTCCAGCCTTTTAATCATCTTAGTTACTCTACTTTGCAACTCACTAACCATTAAATAATATTCAGCACAATAGCCTGATTTGCAAAAAAATCAACCGAAATAAACTCCACCAACTTACTTATTTGGAAGAAGCAGACTGCTAAGAAAATGCTGAAGACTCCAGTTCTTTTCTCCATAACTCAGATTTTCGAATGTCAAAGTAGTCAGAAGACAGATTGGCAGCTGAACAGCAACTGTGTGAATGAAGAAATACCAGCATCTGCTTTTTTTGAAGTAGTGTTGGGAGGTTAATTGTACCGTCCTCTATATATTGTCGCTGTCAACATCAAGAATCACTAAAATAACAGTGGGTGGAGGTGTGATTGCAGCTACAACAACACACCCTTTTGAATTTGAACTTGGGAAGCTTTAGTATAGACAAAGGTTCATAGAAAGGGCCTACAATAGGAGGTAAGTCCTGAGGTAATAGTTTTCCTTAAGGTCAAGCTATCCTTCCATATTATGGGGGGAACCAATGGTGGGATCAAATTACAATGGGATTGTAGGGGAAAGATGCATGGAAGTTACCTGGGATAAATTCTGAGTCAATGAAAAACTATGACATTTCTAGGTAGGGCTCATTAGCCATTTTCCACACCTTCTGTTATGGGTATCTGAAAGCATCCATGAACTTGTAGTCACATTGTGTTGCATAATCACGGTGACTCTTGCAGCAGTTGTCCAAGTCTTACACAGAAGAAAATAGTAGAGAACATGTTGCAACTCGTGCCACTGAAGTTATTGATCTTGTTAACTAAGCTCCTATTTCCTCCAGTATCTGGATAGTTAGACAAAGGGATTAAATGGGTTTGATGCCACCTTCCAAATTTTCAGTGTGGCACTTTGGGTGCCCACCTAGATTTGGAAACTGTGGCCAGGATTGTGTGACTTCGGTTGCAACATCCTCTGGGAATTGTGCTTTGGTGGTACAATAACTTGCTTTATTGACTATGTACGATTAAGTTATTTTTGACTCCTAGCAGAGATATTTTTCCCCATGTTAACCTGGTCTTTCTGATCTCACAATGTCATTCCCATTGTCTCTGTAACTGAATCCATTCATGTTGCTGCTGGTTGTCTTCTTCTCTTTCCTTCCACCATTTTCAACATTACAGAATTTTCCAGAGAGTTGGGTCTTCACATCATGTGTCCAAAGTAGGGTACAATAAACACAGTACCTACATCAAGCACAATGATTTGATGGCCTCTTATCTAGATTATGCCAGTGCACAGAAAGAGGAAGATATAGAATAGAAACTGGCACACGGTGGCATCAAATTTCTGAACATGTGCATCTCTTTACTATTCAGTAAAGAAGTGCAAGTTTTTTCAAGTATCAACAGAACCTGGAAAAAAAAAGATGTTTCCAATTTAAGGCATCCACTTGCTCAAGTTAACATGACTCTTAAAGCAATAGGATAGCTTAATAACCAAAGAATTGGTTGATTAGGTCTACAAAAATCCCCGGAACCATTAGTTGGAAACATCCATCTAGTAGATGTTTGCTGCTGAGATAACTTTATTATAATGGATACCAGAGAACTTCTGAATTTGTATGGGGTCCAAAGCACTTCAATATTTCCCAAATTATGCACAACCCTGCTCGTTAGTTAACATTCAACATTGTGAGTCGAAAAGCCGAGGTTGTAGCTGCTAGCAAGCAGGTAAATCTACAGTATTTTAGACCAATTGCAACTTCCAAGTAATCTTCAAAGGCAGCTCCATGTAGACCAGGGGTGTCAAACACACAGTGCCACACTGTTATCACATGACATATTGTGACTCCCCCACCTTTGTTAAAATGCAGGTGGGCATGGCCCATGCATGATGCATCCAACCCACGTGCCACGAGTTTGATACCCCTGATGTAGACTGTATTTCAGTAGTCCAACCAGATGCTGATATGAGCATGATGCTAGCATCTTCCAATTCAGGTAACCAGATATAATGGGGCTGTGAGAATAATCTTAGAGGAACAGGAAGGCTGCAGCCATGACAACAGTTAGATAAGAGAAATGTGAACCCAAAGCAGGAATGTACTTTGAAAAAATGTCTCCTTTGACCTTCCCTAATTTATTTTAACATAAAGACCAGAAGGGGAGAGATCGTTTCTGATTTGCAAGATTCTGTTAGGGTAACCCTGTAATAAAAGTATTTTCAGCATTCATAACTTTAATGTCCAAGTCTAGTCTATCTTGAAGGGCTTATATCAGACAAGGACTGCAAGCCACCAGACTAGGCTTTATTTGATTGGAGTTAAGACATACATTGGTAACATAAGTGTAGCAGGGGTGGGATTCAAAATTCTCAGCAACCGGTTCTCTGCCCAGTTGTTGGGTGGGCGTGGCCAAGGTGGGCATGGCCTACCGGAACTTCTGGTTTGGCCATTTTTTTTTGCCTTCCCCAGAGTCCGGAGGCTTCCCTCGGGCCTCTGGGAGGGTGAAAGCAGCCTCCCTGGGCTCTGGAGGGCCTCTGGAAGCTGGAAACAAGCCTGTTTCCAGACTTCCGGAACTTTCGGTTTGGCAATTTTTCACCTTCCCCAAAGTCCGGAGGCTTCCCTTTGGTCTCTGAGAGGGTGAAAACGTCCTCCCCCAGACTCTGGAAACCCTCTGGAAGCCAAAAAAGGGCCCATTTCCAGACTCCTGGAACTTTCGGGAGGGCTGTTTTTTGCCCTCCCTGAACCTACGCTTGGACCCTGCACTTATCTGTATCCAAAATGGGCCACGTGGATACTCCTGGGAGGGGAGGGGAGGGGTGGGCGGGGCCAGCCAGCCAGTTCAACTCCCGGTTCAGTGAACCAGATGTAAATTTGACATCTGGTTTTCCCAAACTGGTCCAAACTGGTAGAATCCCACCCCTGAAGTGTAGTGATCCCACCTGCTCCTGAAATGATGAATGATCTCACACAGTGGCCTCATGTACATATTAAACAGGGTGTTGAGACCTCACATATATGAGTCTTGGATTTGTTCCCTCCTGCCTATCAGCACCCACTGGAGCTGGCCACAGAGAAAGGAGAAGATCTGTGTTTTTCACTCCTAATCTCTTCAGGTGCTCCAAAAGGATACTATAGTCATTGAAAGCTGTTGAGAGATGAAGAAGAACAGAACAGTCACACCACCTCCATCCTAGCTCAACTAGAAGTCATCCACGAATGTGACCAATGCTGTCTTTGTGTTATAAACTGCCTTGAAATCCAACTGAAATGGATCCATTTCCTCCACTGCCTTTTGAAGCTTCTCAACAATCTTCCCTAGCAAGTGGAAAATGGGATAAAAGCAGAGGTCATATTCAGCAGGTTCTGACCACTTCTGGAGAACCAGCAGCGGAAATTTTGAGTAGTTTGGAAAATCGGCAAATACCACCTCTGACTGGCCCCACCCCCATCTATTTTCTGCCTCCCGAGTCCTAGCTGATCGGCTGGGTCTTCTTTGGTTGCCCTGCACAGGAGAACGGAGCTGGAAAGCAGATTAGCAGGGTGGGTAGGGAATGGGGATTTTACAGTATCCTTCCCCTGACACACCCAAGCAAGCCACACTCACCAATCCATGACACGCCCACCAATCCACGCCCACAGAAGTAGTAAAAAAAAGATTGAATCCCACCACTGGATAAAAGTTGTCCAGAACTGTTGAATCCAGCCTTAATTGTGCTTCATCATAGATTGATAATATCGGTCAAAGAACCAACGGACGACTTCTTCCTGCGGCTTCATTTATATGGTGAATGTTGGAAGGGAGATGATAGAACCACACAAGGGAATGCCTACTAGGTTGCAAAGCAACTGAGAAGGAGGAAGGAGAAGTGAAATGGTTGCCTTCAAAAAGTAAAGTAGACAGCATGACAACAGCTCTGCCTCGAGCTTGTTCTCCTTGAAACAAGGCAGTAAAGATCTTATCAGAATAACAGAGATACATTGGAGGTCTTCTAGTCCAACCCCTGCTCAAGAAGGAGACCTTATACCAGTGGCGGCCAACCTTTCTGGGCTCCTGTGTCAAAAATTGCGAGTGCGCCAGCACACCCGTACTCGTGTGCCAGCACCCAGAATGCAATGCGTGTCCCTCCTCCCCACACCGCCTGCGCATGCCCAGGCAATCCCCACCCCAACCCCTTACCTGTACTGAGCCTCACAGCTGATTTTTCAGCTAGATTGAGGCCTTTTTCGGCCTCCCAGAGGCTTGGGAAAAGCCTCTGCAAGCCTTCTCAGGACGAATTATGGGCCCGTTTCTTCACTTCCGGTATTACAGGAAGTGACGAAACAGGCCTATAATTTGGCCGGAGAAACCTTGCAGAGGCTTTTTCCAAGCCTCTAGGAGGCTGAAAAAGGCCTCAAACCAACCGGAAAAAAAAATCAGCTGTGAGGCGCAGGCATGTGCAGTCAGGTAAGTTTGCCTGCAGGTCGCGTGCCAGCATAAATGGCTCTGCGTGCCACTTGTGGCATGCGTGCCATAGGTTTGCCATCATGGCCTTATACCATGGCAGAAATGGCCATCCAGTCTCCTCTTAAAAATCTCCAGAGCATCCACAACTTTTGGAGGCAAGTTGTTCCACTGATTAATGATTCTCACTGACAGGAATTTTCTCTATAGTTCTAGATTAGTTCTCTCCTTAGTTTCCACCCTTCGGTTCCTGTCCTGCCTTCAGTTAGTGTATAGAATAGGCTGACCCTCCCTCTTTTTTATGGCTATCCATTAGATCTGGAACAGGCTTTCAACATTCTATTAAAATACCTCACAACAGTAAAGTAGTATTTGAAGAATTGCACTGGCTTCTGTTTCTTGACCTGACCTTCCTTGAAGGACTAACACAGGTTGCCCTTATTCCCCTACCACCAGCACCTGAAATCTCTCACTGCAACCTGGTGTTAGCATCATCACCAGTGCTGCGTGCAAGAGTTGTGTGCAATTCAAGCCTTGCACACAACCCAGAAGACATGAGTTTTGGGTGGCATCATACATTAATTCAAGAGGAGCATCAAAAACCAGACAACAGTGTTAAAATATGAGACCAGGGATGCTGTCAAACCCTGGCTTGTCTTTAAAAACTGCATTAAAACCATTAGACAACGTTTGACTCCATTCCTAAAGATTTCATGAACTTGATCTCCAAATGTCAACAGATGCTTGTTTGCTTTCCATATGATAAAATAGCTCTTCCTTCTCATCCTGCCACTTGGAACTCTGACCTAGATAGACTGATGGCACAATTGTCTTAAATAAATAAACAAGGTTGCCCG